GGGTTAGCTACTGTTGAACATGGATGAACGGAAAAGTCACATGAGAAAAAGCAGGTTGAAAATAACTATGGAGTATAGAGCTGTGGAATCACCATGTTGTACGCCTGAAATTAATGTGACACTGTGTGCCGCTGTACTTCCATTAAAAAGAAAGAAAGAAAGAAAAAGAAAAGAACCCTGAATATTTTTCAAGCTTTGAAATCAAATAAAGAAAATTAACATAACAAAGTATTATTTTACACTAAGTAAATTAGGGGGAATAAAAGCCTGCTGTGACATGTTTATAGGTTAAGAGGTTTTGGAATCAGACCAGTTTCAATCCTGGTCTTGCCGTTTTATGGGTTGAATGAAGATAATACTTTGCTGTTGGGGTTGTTGCAGTGATAAGATCATACATTGTAAGCCACTTATTGCCTAATCTACTGGTAGGCAGTCAAAAAGATTTGTTTATTTTCTTTCAGAGTTATTAAGGCCAGGAAGGTGGTAGAGAAGATGATAAATTCAGACTTTGCAAAGTCGAAAAGCCCTTTGAAAAATCCAGTTGGCTATACGTAGTCAATTAGATGCTAATACTCTTCGACTCAGTTATGACACTTTAGGGGCTCTGGCCTCAGGATATAATCCAAAAGAAGGGGAAAACCACATAGACAAGCATACTTATTGCATGTTATATCAATAGTCATGAAAAGTTAGAAATAATCTAAGTCAAATAAAAAGTTAAATTACTTGGGTGCCTGCTACATGTCAGGCACTTCATATATTCACTCCATTTTCTTCACAGCAATTCTGCAATGTGACTATTTCTTTGTTCCCCCTTTTGAATGACTTTGTGGAAGGTCACACAGCTAATGATAGAACCTACATTGAAACTTCGGTTTGTACGATTCCACACTTGTTACAAATATGGATGGCAGAGCAAGACCACTTGAACTTGAATCTCTGTTCCACCACTTACATGACCCTGAGCAAGTCAATTGACTTCTCTGTCTCAGTTGCCTCATCTATAAAATGGGAATAATAACAGTACCTTCCTCACTGGATTAAATGAGTTGATACATAAAAGTGTTTAGAATAATTTCTGTAAGAGACATAGGAGTATTAGCTATTATTCAGAGTATTATGCTTCCATTACACCGTGTTGCAGCAGAAGCTGTAAATATAGATTTTAATTAACATGATAGTTTTTTGTATAACATTAAGTGAAAACATGAGAATACAAAATTGTATCTATGCTATAATTACAAAACTGTAAAAGACAGTATATAAATGGACAAGAACTAGGATTCCCATACCAAAAAGGCTGTCTTTTTGGGATATTGGTACTATGGTGAATTTATTTTCTTTTAACCTGCAATAATCCTGTTGTGTAAGAGTAACAATGATAAGGACTTTTTTTAAAAGCACCCTTAAGAAGTTTTTTAGGGGCGCACAGGTGGCTCAGTCGGTTAGGCATCTGACTCTTGACTTTTGGCTCAGGTCATGATCTCACGGTTCATGGAATCGAGCCCTGCATTGGGCTCTGCGCTGACAGCATGGAGCCTGCTTGGGATTCTCTCTCTCCCTTGCTCTCTGCCCCTCCCCCATGCACACACAGCTCGCTCACTCACTCTCCGCTCTCTGTCTCTCTCATTCTCTCCCTCTCTCACAATAAATAAACATTTACAAATATAGAGGAATTTTTGAAAATTAAAAAAATAGAAATTTTCAGTAGTATGGCTACATACTGCTGTGTCTGCTGTGTAGAAACTATACTAACCAGGGACTTACCCTCGGGCTAGACCCCTCGAGGGACTCGGTGTTATTAGCTGAAGCAAGACACTTATTACACAAAGATTAATTTCGCAGGCTCTGCAATGATAGATCTGGATTCAATTTTATGTCTATGGCTGAACAGCTGAGCGAGCTTAGGCCAATTACTTAACCTCTCAGAGCCTCAGTTTCCTCATCTGAGAGGACATTCCTCATCATAGAGAACATAACCACGTCATGAGTAGTAAGATAATGAATATGATGCTTCCTTGATATTCCACCAAGACTATCACAATTAAATATTTCCTAGAGTAATAAGCTGTTTAATGTCTGCCTTTCTTTTCTTTTAATTTTTTTAACATTTATTCCTTTTTGAGAGACAAAGAGAGACAGAGCACAAGCAAGGGAGGGGCAGAGATAGAGGGAGACACAGAATCTGAAACAGGCTCCAGGCTCTGAGCTGTCAGCACAGAGCCCGAACCGGGGCTCAAACTCACGAACCGTGAGATCATTACCTGAGCTGCAGTCAGACGCTTAACCGACTGAGCCCCCCAGGCGCCCTTGACGTCTGCCTTTCTAAGACATCCTCTAGTGTCTTAGAAATCCCCACCAAATCGAGGATTGCACTGCATACGGTTGCAGCCTCTAGCACAATGCTTTGCATGTAGTAAGCACTCAGTAAACATGTGGATAAATACATGAAGACCTTACAGGACCCCTTGGCAGCCCCCACTCCAGAAACGCAATCAGGTTTAGTGCTGGCCCAGGAAAAGCCCTACGCAGCATGGTGCTGCCTTCAGCTGTTCTAGCAGGGCTACTGCTCAGCCCAGAGCCACACAGCCAGGGGGAGGTGTGGGCTGAAATCCGAGCCACTGACCTGGCAGTGGGGCAAGGTGCACAGATTGGATGCCTGGAACCAGCGAAAACTTTCCATCATTCCCACAAAGTACCCGCCATTTAGGCTAGCAGTGGCCTGGGGTCAAAGATTCAGTGACCCAACCCCAAAAACATCCAGTCCTGGGAAATTAAAGGGCTTAAGGTTGGAAGTGGGAAATGACCAGATGGAAAGCCCTTCAATTTGAAAGCAGCATTTACCTTGTCCAAGCAAGCAAACTAGCCCCATTCACCACTACCTAGCTCCCCCAAAATGAATGTCTCTGGTATCTCAGCTGAGCCTTTAGGTGGGGCTGAGGGCAAGACTCTGTTTTTCCACTGGAGGACATGAGTCAGTGAGCAGTGAGGTTCCACTTAATCACCACCCAAAAACAAGGTCCTTAAAACCAAGAGCTAGAAAAGCAAGGAAGTGATTAATATAAAAGTCAGGATAGTGATTATCCTTGGGCAGGGCAGGGCAGGCTGGGGTGGGGGTGGGGGTGGGGATGAGGGACCTGACTGAGAAGCGATATATAGAGGTTTTCCCAGGTCCGAGAATGTTTCATTTGTTGACCTCTGCGGTGGTTGCTTTATAATTATGCTTACAGATGCTCTATGTAATTTTCTAAACGTGTCTTATATTTCACAATTTTAAACAGCTAAAAAAAAATTAAAAACTATACAATGTTTTGAAGCAGGGGAAAATGACCAGATTTGTTATTATTAGAAGATCACTTGGGTGTTCAATGGAAAGTTGATTGAAGGTGGAGGCAAGCCTAGAGGCAGAGAAAACAGGAGGTGAGGAGGCTGCTGTCATTTGGTGGGAGATTATAATGACCAAGGTAAGAAAAGGTAAAAAATTAGGGATATAGTCTATATATTTTTTTTTCTTTTTAATACAACCAAAAGAAAACAGAGGCTGGCACTACTCCCTCAAGTCACTTTCTGCCTCTGTGCGTTGGGTGAATTTGGCTCAGGTGTGGAGAGTCCAGAGGCAGACACATGTCTAAACAGACACACAGGCCAGGACTTCCCTTTACCTCCCTCCCTGGTAGCTCCACTGAGAGGGACTCACACTGTCTGGCCAGTGGCACTGAGAGCACATTTCTCACAATGCCAGAATATTATCTGAGTTGACACAGGTGCCTCTGTCATAACGTAGAATAACTCAGTCATGATATCTAATCACCCAGGACTTTACAGTGTTTTCACCTCTGCTCTCTGGTGCCAGAATGTCAGCTCCATGAGCTCCCCAGGCTTTGTCTTGTTCATGGCTGTCCCCTTAATGCCTAGAACCAAACTCGGAGCACAGCAGATGCTTGCTACATATTACGGGAATGGAGGAGCGCGTTTAATTATCACGGATATTGGATCATCACAACAGCCTGTGAGGACAGGTAGGCCATGAGGGATCATGCCCATTTTGGGAGTTAGAAAATGAAGACTTGGGGGAATGAAGGGACAGGTCAAAGAGCTGCTAATCTGGCTGACAAGAGAATCGTGATTGGATTTCGGGTTTTCTGCATCCACTCCCTTGTTCTTCCCACTCCTTCACAGCTGAAGAGCCAAGGTTTCAGGTTCTTAAAGCCCTGAAACCACAGCTGGAAGTAAGTATTCCAAAATACGTAACACTATCAGATATCCTATGTCACCGGACATGTGAGGTTACAGGAGGCTGCTAGCACGTCCATCATCACAGTCCCCTCCGAGGAGACGCAGGCTTCCCCTGGAAGGTCTGATAAAGCCGGCCCTAGGCCAGCTGGTACTTCTCCACGTCTCTCGCTTGTCTCTACTTGTCACCCAATTCCACCCCTCCATGCAAAAGAAGCTCACGGAGACCCCATTACTTAACAGCAAAAACACGTGTTCTCATTTTCCTCCTTAGAAGAAAAAGAAAAGAAACCATAAAGAAACATGGCAGCAGGTAGTGTTGGTGCCCTTCCTGAACCTTTGTCCTCCGAGTGGGAGTCCATGGGGGACTAACAACCTAATGCTACACGAGTTGTTAATCTTGGTCTCCTTCCTCTTCATTAAAAGTAGTCATTTGAAGCATAAGCCACAACTCGGAAATCTGGGGGCTCCAGATGAGCAATCACCATGAATGTTTATACACCTGGAATTATGTACATCCTCCGTGGGAATGCTGGTCCAACTCCAAGACTAGCAAACACTATGTATAAAACCCTATTTTGGACAGAATACTTAAAACACACAAACTGCTCAGAAAAGCCCAACTTCTAGGTTGCCTTCCTCCCTTCTTCCCTGCAAGGTCTGATACTCTCCATCCCACAAGCAGTTTGGTCTAGGAGAGTTAGACAATCCAGGTCAGTTAAACAGTCTGTGTCACCACTCCTGAGAGTGTCACCCGTAAGACTCACCAGAAATTCATTGGCGAACTCTTCTTTGCTCGGTGTCTTGGTCTGGGTCTCCTCCAGGAACTTCTGCAGAATCTCTCTTTGGTCCATGCTGCAAGGCAAGAGAAGCTGTGTTTCAGAGGGTTAGGGGAGGGCATGTCAAATGTATGTCATGGCCGAGGTATCACCAAGAAGCCACTACTGCCGCCAGAGCAGAGCATGTTGAAGGCTGTGGTTAACTGACTTCATCACAAGCTCTAGAGGAAATTAGTACGCAACCAGGCTCTGTGGTCACACAACAAAGCCATCATCACTCCAGGGCCCTAGTGCCTTCCTTCTCAAGAAAGGAACCTGGTTACAACTCAAGTTCTAATAAACAAGAAGGCTAACCAGAGCATAACACATGGTCTGCTTAGCTCTGACACCGTTCCACTCCAGCATCTTTGAGTCAAAGCCACCCCTTTTCTTGTTTCCTAGAGAAAGGGCAGAATTACAGGTCTGATGGATGGGGTCTGCCTCTCCCCATTTCCTCCATGAACACAAAGGCCCTGTGGGTCCCTTCTGTTTCCTCGTGTCCCAGATGAACTCAGTGAAGTTCAGTTAGGGTCAGACGTCTTCCACCTGCACTGTCCTCCCCAGAATTTCTTGTCCATGCGATCTGTGGAAAATTACCGTTCATCAGAGAAGGCATTTTTACTCAGCAGTGGCATGTCTGCCATCTACATCTCAAACTCTCTTTTGGATGAAGCAAAGTCAGCTGCTTCTGACAGTCTGTGCCTCTCCCGAGGCTGGGGAAGTGCGGACCTCCATTACGGGAAGTGTTGTTGATTTCAGGACTGAGTGTTGGTCTGTATAAGATCCAGGAGGGACAGTGGCCCCCATGAGAAGCACCTGACCAGGAAGTCGGCACAGTATCTCCTGTAGGCAATGCTAGTAAACTAAAAGGAACAGAAAAAGAGTAAAATCAGCCACCTTGCTGGCAGCAGTATAATGTTCAAGGCTTAAAGCCTGAAGCATCATTTCTAGAGAAGGCGTTCTACTATCCAACTAGTGCCTTGGAAAAGGCCATTGCTTCAGGAAGCCACGCTGTGCGCGTGGCATTTTGTCCCTGACAGACAAGCTGTTCTAGAAGAAGCTTCCACATCTCAGCGTGCACAAATCCCCTCCTCAATGGGTACAAACCTTCCTAAGACTATCCCCTGCTGAGTGAGAGCGACCCCAGATCAGCGTATCATCTCTGTTTGAAGACAGTAGTTCCGTAAATAATTGTTAACAAAATTAGTCTGAAATAAACCTGGAGAAAACTGGGAGATGTGCCATTAGAACTTCCTCTATTAGCAATCTTTTCTGTGTTGCACTATTTAAACTCTGTTTAGGAAATTCCAGACACTATGCAGCTACATCCACTTTACTGAGCCTCGCAGCAGGAAAGGAAAGGTCTTTGAGGGGTCCTGCATGTGAAGCTAGTTAAGAATTTCAATCCCAGTCCAAATAATAAATTAAAGTGAAGCAGGATAGTATTTCTCAATCCCCACCTAACATTAAAGGGGAATTTTTTGTGGTACTAAATACTGCAGTGTTTGATTTGCCTATCTCAAGACATAAAAAAATGGGAAAAATTTTAAAAGTTTGAAATTGAGGGGCGCCTGGCTGGCTTAGTCGGTTAAGCGTCCGACTTTCGCTTAGGTCATGATCTCGCGGTTCGTGGGTTTGAGCCCCGCATCGGGCTCTGTGCTGACTGCCGGCTCAGAGCCTGGAGCCTGTTTCAGAGTCTGTCACTCCCTCTCTCTCTGACACTCCCCCGCTCACGCTGTCTTTCTCTCTCTCTCTCTCTCTCCTAGAAATAAATAAAAATAAATAAAAAAATAAATAAAAGTATGAAATTGAAAGTTCACAATAACTAAAACCGTGTAAAAGTATGTACATGATTAAATGAAGACTAAACGGCACAGGAAAAAATGAACTGTGTGTTAGAATTAAGGATTTTTTAAAATGTTTTTATTTATTATTGAGAGATAGAGAGAGACAGAGCATGAGCAGGGGAGGAGCAGAGAGAGAGGGAGACAGAATCTGAAACAGGCTCCAGGCTCTGAGTTGTCAGCACAGAGCCTGACGTGGGGCTCAAACTCACAAACCGCGAGATCATGACCTGAGCTGAAGTCAGACACTTAACCGGCTGAGCCACCTAGGTGCCCCAGGATTTTTTTTTTTTTTAAAGTAGGCTTCATGGCCAGCATGGAGTCCAATGCAGGGCTCAAACTTAAAACCCTGAGCTCAAGGCCTGAGCTCAGATCAAGAATCAGACACTTAACCAACTGAGCCACCCAGGTGCCCCTAAGGATGCTTTTTAAAATTCTTGAACACCATTTTTTAAAGAATAAAAAAACAAGAATCCATTAATTTGTTCAACAAATTTACTGAGTACCCACTAAATGCTACGTACTATGTTAGGGCTGGATATACAATAGCAAACAAGCCAGAATAGAGTGAAAAACACCCATAACCGGTTAATAAAGCATCTCAGGACTAAGACATGGATGTAATTACTAATTAAAATAAAAACGTTCCAAATTAGGGGCGCCTGGTGGCTCAGTTTGTTCCGCATCTGACTTTGGCTCAGATCATGATCTCGTGGTCCACGGGTTCAAGCCCTGCACCAGGCTCTGTGCTGACAGCTCGGAGCCTGCTTCGGATTCCGCATCTCTTTCTCTGTCCTTCCTCCACTTGTGCTCTCTCTCTCTCTGTCTCTTTCTCATAAATAAATAAACATTAAAAAAATTTTTTTAAACGTTCCAAACTGGGTAATTTGCAGAGTAGCAAAGCATAACCCTAAAAGAAAAATGATTTTCTGTATTTGAACAAGAGAGATAGTTTCACAATCCCTCTGTCCCCTTAGAATGTAATTACTTCCAACGAAACCAGAACTTTACTAATTAACAAGCAAAAGTATACCTAATACAATAGGACTTAAATCTATGTTTCTCAAGTTCATATCTCAGAACAATGTCTGACTTTATTCTCGTTTTAGGGAGAGCTTAACATAGTGATAGCTACGAGATAGAGAAATCCTCACTGAGACACCCTCCTTTTACCCCAAGTATAAAAATCTAAAAATAGTGTCTGAGCCGAAGTGCAGATTTCTTTTCAAAAGCAAGCAGCAATTCTCAGGAGCCTGTTCCACACTAAAACCAAAAGAGACAGAAACATCGTGAAATAACCAAACCTCAAAAACCCACTTCGCTGAAAGACCATTTCCTGAGTAGACCACTCAAGCAAGCAAAAAACACAACTGAAGGAGAAAACGAAAAACTTTTATTAACAGTTTTATTTGTAACAAATCTAAGCCACTACTTAATGTTTCACACTTCCTTCTATAGATACGGGAAGGCAATAGGAGCATCGCGCTTTTTGATTTAGATTCTGATGACTCATTTATATCTTGTGGGAAGATCAAGAGCTGGGGAGGGGGAACATGTTACACAGTGAAGACTGGCAAATACGTAAAAGGATTGACGAATTTACGATGAAACATTTAAGCTGATCTGGCATAAGCCCTAAGTGAACACAACAATTCCATGCAGTGGAAGACCCATGAGCACTTTGTCAGGGCCACCGGGGCGAGTTCTAGTGGAAAGTAAAAGTGAATGAGCACCTGAGGAAGAGCCAGGAAGGAACACCTCACTGCTGCCTCCCGTGGTTCTGCTGTTGATTCAGAAGGTGAATGACAGCAGAGAGGAGTGCCCCTTGTAGTCACCTGCGCCAACAAGAGGGGAGTGTGTCCGAGTAATGTTCGACATCAGCGTCATGGAGGTTGGAATTAGACAACAAAAAAAAAAAAAAAAAAAACAAAAACCCAAAAACAAAATTTTAAAAACTCCAAAAAACAAAAACACTTAACCAAAAACCCCAAAAAACAAAAAAAAAACAAAAAACAAAAACCCCAAAAACAAACAAACAAACAAAACACTTTAACTAAAGAGAGTATCAGGGGAGATCATTAGGACACTTATTATCGGTTAATAGAAAATACGCTCAGGAGGTTTCTCAGAACATCCTCTCTCTCTGTGAGGAGGACTGTTTTACCCTAGGGAAGCCGCTTACCAATGTTTGCTTAGGTTTTACTAGGCCTGCCTTTGTCTACCGCCCAGGGTCACTGATTTGATACGGGCTCTGTGTTATCTGTGTCACACACAGTTCTTCGGGAGCCTCCTCTTGGTCACCAAGGCCTGCTTATCCTTTCTCCTCAATGTCTCATAGCTTTAACCAGTCTCTTCCATTCCCATGCTGACCTCTGCCCCCTTTTTGTCACACGTGGGTTCCACCAGCAACAGGCTCCTAGTATTATTCTATGCTTATATCTCCTAGGAACCAAGGGTGGGCGAAAGCTCTTAAAACTCCTCTTAAATGCTAAAGAACCAAAGTAGTGACGGGTGGTCTACTTAATGCCCATCCAGATTCCTCAGATGATCACTGAGCCCCTCCCTGGGGGACCCACCCCTTCAGCCACAGGCCTTACTCTCTCTACTGCCACCTCTTTTGCTACTTCTCACCTTTCCCCTCATGTTCCCCAAGATGAAAATAAAGCCGTAAAGCGTTTCTTCACAACTCCCGCCCCAACTCCGTCTCACCACAGGCCTTCTCTTTGTCTGCCTCCTTCCGGCCAAAGTCTTTATTGTCATCTGTGGAAGCTTGCTTTGTTTCTTCACATGTTTCTTGTGCTCTATGCGTGTGTTTAAAAGAGCTCATTCAAAAGAAAACACATAAACCACCCCCCTGTAGTTTTAAATCGATCAAAGACAATGCCAGTGTCTTCCGTGTGCATTTGTGTGCCCACAATGCTTAGCGCAGCCTTAAGCACACCTGAAATACACCTGTTGTGATCAAGTACACTGCATAATGCAGTGAGGTGTTGGTGGGAGACCCACCCTGACTTGGTCACTGTCTCTGCCAATTACTCCAGGCCTCCTGCCTGGCACAGAGCATGCCTGCCTCTGGCCGGGCACTTCTCACTGTGCCAGGAGCAGATGGGCCTTCCCTACAGGGAGGTCCTGGGACCTGGCAGAGAGCACTTGCCTGACAGCTGCCGCCCGAGCAGCAGGGCCACTGTTATGGAAAGAATGGGGTGGCCACCACCAAAGTAGCGTGCAGCTCTGTGCTGCCATAATGGCCAGGAAAAAACAACCCTTTTATCTCCAGAATAGATCCATTTCCCCTTTTACAAATGGACATAGAAGAGGCTTATAAAACACCTCTGATGAGGCTTGGTGCACCATCAGCCACGGCAGGAAAGTCCCCCACCCATCTTCTTGTCATGATGGCTTCTTGTCACTACAGCTTTCTGAGGCCTCATCAGCCTCTCCCGTTCGCCCTCATGGTCAGCTTCCCACCACCCACAGGGAATCGTGCTCTGACTTGGGTTTCAGAAACACAGTCCTCAGGAGGCTAAAGTCAACTGAGAATTTGCGATTGACCCAGCGTCCTTTTTTTAGGACAGAGTTGGGACTCTTGGTGAGACGTGGCATCTTGTTCAAAACATAATCAAACTTGAAATCTTTTGTTTGTTGACTCAGCATTGAGTCTATTCATTTATTCCTTTAATGAAGATTTATGAGATCCATATGTATGTGAGAGAATGGGGAAGAGGGGTGCTACAGATGTGTACAACGAGGTGTCTTCATTCAAGGACCTTTTATTCTAATAAGGCGGGGGGAAGTACACAAATAACTATAACTTAAGGCCATTTGTGGTAAGACCATAAACGTTATGCAAACAAAATGTTGAGAAGGCAAAGATCACTTTGGGTTATCTGGCTAGCCTTCATGGAGGAAGCGACCTTTGAGTTGGGTTTTGAATATGTCAAAGAACCTGAGAGACAGAACAGCAGGAGGAGGAGAGCTTAGTGAGCAGCTCAGTCTGGCTGGACGATTAGTCATGTAGAGAAGAGTCTAGATCGACAAGGCTAGAAAGGGCAGCTGGAGACAGAGCCTGAGGGAATTTGAATACCAGGCTACAAAGTCAGGCTTTGTTTGATGGGCAATGGAAAACCAGTGAAGGTTTTGTTTTCTCTTAATACCAACTTTATAGTGGAGGAGCCTGAGTGGCTCAGTCGGTTAAACATCCAACTTCACCTCAGGTCACAATCTCACGGCCTGTGGGTTCGAGCCCCTGAGTCAAGCTCTGTGATGACAGCTCAGAGCCTGGTTCGGATTCTGTCTCTCTTCCTTTCTGCCCTTCCCCCACTCACACTCGGTCTCCCTCTCTCTCTAAAATAATAAACATTTTTAAAAATAAAATAAATATAACAACTTTACTGAGGTAGTACTGACATACAACAAACTACACATTTCAGCGTGTGTGGCTTGAGAAGTTTGAAACATAACATGCACCTGTGAAACCATCCCTACAACCAAAACAGTGAATATAACCAATCAGCTTCAAAAGTTCTGCTGGAAGATCTTCAAAAAATGGCAATCAAAGCAATGCTTCTTTTCTTTACTTCTTTTTTTTTTAAGAAATGGCCACTCTGATAAATTTTTTAAAAGTCTCATAATCAACTTCAGTAGTATGTAAATTTCAAAGTGAATTATATCTAAAAATGACTCGGAAGCCTAGACAAGGAAACCACAGCTCTGGTCAGTCTGGTGGCCACATATACAACAGACTGAAATGTGCACGCCTGGAACAGGACCGCCAGCTAACAGCCCAAGAGACGTTACCAAAAGTCCAGGCACAGGGTAACAAACTCCCGGAGAGAATCTGGACAAAAAGGAAGGGAGAAGTGAGAAAGGCCGACTGGGTGAGTAGGGCTGGAGGCAGGGAAAAGGGGCGAAATGGCTGGTTTTGAGCTAGCTGAGAAAGTGTAGGGATAAGGAAGCTCTATCGATAACAAAGAATTAGAGCTCATGGGTATGGAGTTAGTAAGTCAGACTTAGGGATCTTAGGAATCACCCACACTGAGGCGAGAGTAAGGCCAGAAGACTGGCTTACCTTTGTGAGAGAGAGCGTGAGTGGAGAGAAAAAAGTCAAGTGAGACTTTGATAAACCCCGAATCACAGCGGCCCCGCATTGTTCATGGCACGGTGCTTGGAACAGTCCAGAAACCGGGCTAAGCCCTTTACACAGTGTATTCTTCCATTTATCCCTGACCACAGCCCTATGAATTGGCTACCAGGTCTTCTCTGTTGTAAGATGTGGAAACTAAGGCCCAAGGGAGTACTTGCCCAATGTCACTGATGAGTCTTGGTGAAACTACGTTGTTAAAATCAGACCATCTGAATGAATGTCTTCATCTCTGGGCTACTGCCGTGTCTTGTCCCTGCCTCCCCCCAACTTCAGCTCTCCTGGGAACAAACACAACACCCAAGCCACAGCTGCTTTACCCACTTACTGGGTATAATCCCCAGGGGCACAATGTCAAGATAGTACGCGTCCTTGGCCCCGATTCCTACCCGGATGTGTTACTGACAGTGTAGGATAGTGTAGGGAGCTGGCAGAGCGAGCTGGGAAAAGAAAAGACAAAGGGGAGGCTGCTGGCCTCTGACATTTATCGTTTATTTTTCAGCTTTACTGAGAGAGAGAATTGACATATAACATGGTATACGTTTAAGGTGTACAACGTAATGATTAGATATATGTATAAATTTCAAAATGATTACCACAGTAAGGTTAGTTAACACCTCTATCACCTTGCCTAGTAAAACAATGTGTTTCGGGATACCGGGATGGCTCAGGTAGTGGAATATATGACTCTTAATCTCAGGGTTGTGAGTTCAAGGCCCATGCTGGGTGTAGACATTACTTTAAAAATTTTTTTTAAATAAATACTTAAATATAGGACAGATAAATAAATAGTTTTGTGGGTGTGGGTGTGGTAAGAACTTTAAAAATTGACTCTGTTAGCAACTTTTGAATACACGACATGGTATTGTTACCCATAGTCACCATGATGTACATCACTCCCCCAGACCTTTTTCATCTTATGACTGGAAACTTATACCCTTTGACCACCTTCACCCATTTCCCCCACCTACTACCCCTTGCCCTAGGCAACCCCCAATCTATTCTGTTCCTGTATCATTCAATTTAGTTTGCACTTGCTGAGAATTCATTCAAATACATAGACACGACTTTATTTCATGAACAAAATAGCATGGTCAAAGTGAAAATAGTGATTTGACCTAAGAAGTAAGACACCACAAAACCCATCCTGTTGAATTTACAGTAATGTAAGGGACAAAGGAATACATCAAGTGTCTTAAATCAGTGCAAAAAAAAAAAAAAGGCTAATTTTTACGTGAAAAAAACATGAAATCTCACTTGGGATCACTAACCTATTGTGATTTCTCTATGAACAGAGGAAATAGCATAACTTGAAAAAGTCAAAACATAGTAGCAGTGCTACATCTTTAATTCTCTACCCATTTAGGGGAAACAGATAGCTGCTGGCTGAAGGGAGGGGATGTGGTTACACACTTTAGCCATTAGCCAAACAGTAACCAAACCATTAATGCCTCTTTTCAAAATAGATACAGCAATGCTCTTCTTCTTCTTTTTTTTTTTTAATTTTTTTTTAATGTTTTATTTATTTCTAGGAGAGAGAGAGAGAGAGAGACAGCGTGAGCAGGGGAGGGGCAGAGAGAGAGGGAGTCACAGACTCTGAAAGAGGCTCCAGGCTCTGAGATGGCAGTCAGCACAGAGCCCGACGCGGGGCTCGAACCCACGAACTGCGAGATCGTGACCTAAGCGAAAGTCGGACGCTTAACCGACTAAGCCACCCAGGTGCCCCAACAATGCTCTTCTTCTTGACAGCCAGGTAAGTAGTCTGGTTTGGGGACTTAGGGATGTAAGAGTGATGACCAGCTACTAATCTACAAATTATTAAGGACTATTTCGAGATACACATACCATAGCTTCCAGTCACTTCCAATCGGGAGTCACAGAGCTTTCTGATTTCCCAAAGTCCTAGAGAAAGTGTGGACTATGCAAGAACCAACAAATACTCTTTGACTAAATTCTAGTTATCCTATCTACAATGGTGTTCAGCAGGAATTATGGGGATTGCAACAGAATTTAAATCATCCAGGGAGAAATGTTCATTTAGCTTTAAAGCAAGGGTCTACAAACTTTTCAGTAAAGAGCCAGACAGTAAATGTATTTTATAGGCCATATGGTGCTGGCTGTTCGTCCTCAGCTCTGCGTCACAGTACCGAAGCAGCCGTGGACAAGATGTCAACAAGTGAGTGTAACTGCAATCCAATAAAACAATTGACAACAAAGGCAGCGGGCAGGATTTGGCCAATCCATTGTCTACAATGGTGGGATCTCAAGTTCCGTATGTACATTAGAACCCCCTGTGGAGCTGGTAGGACCCAAGGCCCGGCCCACCCCTGCAGAATCAGAATCTCCAGGAGGGGGCCTGGAAACTGGCAGTGTATAAGGTCCACATGCGGTTTGGAGGCCGCTGTTTGGTTTGAAAAACACCGTGGTATGCAGCGAGTTTCATCTGAGCTGGGATGGCCCCTCTGTCCTAGATGTGGGCCAGCACTTCCTGCATCCTGTGGCAGTAAAAATGCACTCACTGTTTTATCTTTTGTCGGCCTTTCTGGTAGAAGGGCAGATGCAGAAACAGCTATGTTTTGCTTTCAACCTAAAGATGCAGAAAATAATTCTGCTTTGGTGAAATCAACACAAAACTCGGGTTATGAATTCAAAAGGAAATTCCCAACGTAAAATAGCAAGATTCCAACAAAAATCTCCCTGAGGTCCTTTAGACTGCTAAATGAGCAGACAAGATCTGTCCCAAAGGACAAGGCGAACTGTGAAGAAACAGTTTACTGTGAACTCCCCTTCCCAAACTACCGCCAGCAAAGCCCTGCTCTGGTGCCTGGAATTCCTATTGACAAGTCACTACTCTGTGTCTAGAGGTCTTTGCTTACATGGTACCTCATGAAAACTCTCATAAAAACACGAAGCACAAGATCTCTGTAGACCTCCCAGCGTTAGCAATCAGCAGAAAAGAAATTATTCAGCTGAGTTCGGTTCCGTACAAAAGAAAGCAGCCTTGGTTTGGGTGTCTGTTTTAATCGCCAGAAATCAATCACCTGATCAGTCACAGAGGCAATGATGTTCAGGCTGGCAAACGGCCGCCTCTTCTTCAGCTCTCCAGGTTCTCCTAGGAAGGACAGTGGATAGCCTACAGTCAAAGGGATGCTTTTCAGGAGCTTCCCAAAGAAACCGCAAATAATCTGCAGATACCTCAGGAAATGCGGCTCTTCCTAAGGCCCCTGCTGATGCTGGAAATGAAGAGAAGTGCTCTGTGAGAGCAGATGTCCTAATGGTTACTAGGACGTGGGCTTAGAATGCCTCCCTAGACGTGGTTTTTTGTTAGGCAACAGGGGGACGGTTCTTAATCTCTTCAAAATACATCCAAAGATGTTAGGGAGAGGAGACCCAGAAATTTACCAGGGAGCAAAGTGAAGCCAGGCTGAGATCGGCATTCTATCACCAGGACACTTACTAGGCGGTTATACATAGGAAGTGGGATTTAGCTTTACAGAGTTAGTAGTCCACATTTTAGGCCAAATGTCCCTGGAGTCCACCACCCACAGTCCTGAGCTTCTGACTGCTCGCTCCCCTTTCTATTGGCATTTTCAGCAAAGTAGGGTGGCCTGTTTTTCTACTTGGTTTCCAGCTTACAAAGAATCAGGAAATGGAGTCCCAGGTTAAGATTACAAAAGCATGCAAATGCCTATGAGAGCCAGGGGCCCCAATATACTTACCCAACCTCCCTGGCCCTGGACAAACTCCCGGATGGCACTGTTCCCGTTGATCATGTTTACTACGGGGACAGCCACCTGTCTTGCCATGTCAGGAGCTGTGCGGGCCACAAATTCAAGAAGCTTCACAGACACTGCCAGGAAGGCTCTCTCATAAACTAAGCTGGGGTCCTGAGCACACCAGGACTTGCTGAGAGATATTACTGTGTCCTGCAGTACAGCTCCTGCCTGGGAAGAGAGAGAATATCAGTGAAGTATCGATAAAAAAATGCAAGAAGCTGTAGTTGCAGGAATCCAGGAAAGCCAGTGTTTCCTAGAGAATGGTAAACGCACCACTGGCTGTATCTGAGATAATCTAAGGAGTAGATGGCCAAACTTTGGTATTTATTGTAATGGGTATAGAGAAAACATAAGTATCCCATCAAACCCATGATTTCAGGCATCACTATTTAAGATGAACAAAATGATTGAAAGAAAAACAAAATGATTTGAAAGCACAATATCAAGTATGTGATAGTACTTAATAGTCAAGTTGTGAAGGTACTACTTGAATGACTGAAGTCTGGGAAATTCTGAAGTTAAAAAAAAAAAAATTTGTTTTTTCTCTTCCTCTTTCCTTCACCCCAAAAATTGATTCAAAAGTCATTAGATGGGATGGGGCGCCTGGGTGGCTCAGTCAGTTTAGCATCTGACTTTGGGTTCGAGTCCCATGTCGGGCTCCGTGCTGACAGCTCAGAGCCTGGAGCTGCTTCAGATTCTGTGTCTCCCTCTCTCTCTGCCCCTCCCTCGCTCATGCTCTGTCTCTCACAAATAAAGAAATGTTAAAAAATTAAAAAAAAAAAAAAAAGTCATGAGATGAGGCCAAGCAAGATGTGCTGTGTGTGGTGTAGGGGGGGCCATGGGAGTCAGAGCAGGATATCAGAGTCCAAACAAGTCGGAAGGGCCATCTGTATGAGTACCTAGCTCTTGGTTTCCAAATACCATCCTCCACTAAAACAAACCAGAGCTCCCTGGACAATGGCTGATTTCAGGCTGGGTCCTGGAAATATAAGAGACTTGTCAGGAAGTAAGGAAGTACTCACAGAGTAACAGAACATGCCAAGAAGACACAGCCAGATCGGAAGGACTCTCACTCACTGGCCAGAACTAGGACAATCTGAACATCCAAATAGATAATGATGGGAACAGATTACTAGTAACAGATAGGAATTCATGAGTCCATGTTGAGGGAAAAAATAAATATATGAACAGATCGAAATGTTGACAAGATATTAGATATTTACATGGTTCCAAAGTACCTCCCATGCAAATTTAACTATATTAACTACAGATATAACTGCAATAGAGAAGCCTTGCGGATACCATCTTAAGTGATTAAATTAACATCAGTAATGGGACAAATTGAAATTTGTGCCACTTAATAGGTGCGATGGGAAGAACACTGGACACTTCCGTGATCTTACTGTAAAGGGACATATTCTGAATCTATGCATAATTGCCCCATACTCTTCAAGTGTTGAGGGCATGAAAAGTCACAGAAAGACTCAGTAAGTATTTCAGATTGAAGGAGACTAAAGAGACATCACGACTTAAATCCAATATCTGATTCTGGCCTAAATCTTTTTGTTGTAAGTGACATCATTCGGACAACTGGAAAAATCTGAATGGAATCTGAGGATAAGATGAAAATGTGTCAGTGTTGATTTCCTGGTTTTGGGCGTTAGATTGTGGCTACATATAAAACCATAGCCTTGTTGGAAGGAAGTGTAGAAGTATTAGAGATGATGCACATCTTATCAGCCACCTACTCTCAAATGATTCAAGAGGGAAATTCTTTGTATAATATGCAACTTTCCTATGAGTTTGGGACTGCTTCAAAAAACTTTTTTTTTTAAATTAAAAAAAAAAAGGTAAATTCATCTCTTAGCTACCTTGGGAAAGTTTTAGCACAAGCAATTAGGAGCAGTAAGTCTGGTTCTGCCTGAATAGACGCCCCATCCAAGCTGTATTCAGGACGAGTAAAGCATAAGGCTGAAGGATGTGGTTCAAATCCTAACTTCAACACTCACGGAGTAGCCTCATTTCTTGTGTCCCAACTCCTCAGTTTCCACATCTGCTTATATGGATATCAAGTCAGAAAATACTTAGCGAGGGTCTCCTGTATACGAGGTGCTCTTCTAAGTCATGTGCATCCTGCGGTGAACAAACAGGTCAGATGTTTGCTCTCACAGCATTTCATGCACATGAGGAGAGGTCACACTTATGAATAATAGTTTCTATACTGCCTCAGAGGGTGGTAGCAGGCTTAAATGAGATAATAAGTGCAAAGCATTTAGAATGCTGTCCGGCACGTTTTAAGTGATGAGTTAATATTACCTGCCATTATTGATACAAATCAGCAACATCTTCCAGAACACTGCCTGTGGTCTTTACATCCAATCCAGAATCTAAACGCTACTACAATAATCTTCATTCTAATGAAAAGTCAGGTAAGCCCAAGGTGGCTGCTGTAAGTACATATTCCCTCAGTGTGGTGACTGCCTATCATTCCTGTACAAAGTTCCATTGCTGGGCCTTCTGGGGGTGGGGAAGGGGAGACACCCACTCTCAGCAAAATAAATATTAAAACAGGTATATAAGAGAATAAAGTGCTTGACTAGGAACAAAATGCTACAGATGTGCTCCATGCATTGTAAGCACAGCTCTGATGGAAACAAATGGAAACAATCTCACTATCACTTGGGCTCTGATGAACTCCTAAACAACTGGATAATTCCTGCTATTTCTCCAGCCCCCACATCGTTCACAGGATATTTCTAGTCACGGTCATGTAAGGGTAGTAAGAAAAGAGCATCTGAAATAGGAAAACCAGTAACTTCACCTGTCCCCGAATGGCTTCTGAAATGACGTTTTTGGCAGAAGCTTCCATTTCTCCGTTGAACTGGTCACCCAGCATCCGAAGGCGACGAGCAATGATGGCCACATCAAAAGAGCAAGACTCTCCTAACAGAGGGAACACATTCACATTTGTTACAGAGCCAGAAGGGATAGCAGCTCCCAGGAATCTGGGCAGTGGAGAAAGCTCTTGACCTTGAAGCAACCTTGGCACTGTTCTCTCCCAAGAATACCTTCAATATTCTGTCAATACCGAGAATCAGAGAATATCTTTCCCTTCCATGGAGACTACTGATTTTCAGGTATTGCTAAAAGCTTAGTTTGCCTTGTGAAACTTAAGAGGAAATAAGGAAATATGCCCAAAGTCTCTTGTTGACCTACAATCACCACCTCAGGCCAGGGAGCCTTCCTTACCTGAATCTGTTTCATCTGCACAACGTAGGTCCCGCTTAGCAGCCTGCAGCGTGGTGCTTAAGAAGCCTGTGAGTAATGTGTCCACGATGCATTCCGTTTGCTCCTCAAAAGTTCGGGGGCTCTTCATTTTAGATGTTTGTTTGGATATCTGCAGCAGAGTTTTCCTTCTCCACAAAACAAGCAGTTTTCAGGTCAGCTGTTAGTCAGAAATACTGGTATACCAGGTGTGTCTCCGTTTTATAAAGTTTCCTAGAGCCTGCCCAAGAATTTTCCTTCAAAACTAGCTGCTCAGATGTGGAACTCCTCTGGTGAGCTCACTATACAGAACACGGGAGACTTTTTGAAGACTTTCAGTTCCTTTTCTCAGAACCACACCCTAGCCAGTACCCAAGATTAATTAATAACTTGTATTGTTGGCCAATTTAGAACTGAAATAGAGTTCAGGAAGAGCTTTCTTGGGCAATTTCATTTAGAAATACTTCCTGTTAGGTTGGCTGTGTGATGTCACTTATGGAAAGGAGGTTCTGAAGTTATAACAGGTAATCCTTCAATGCCTGACATATGGCACTTATTTGCCATAATCATACATTTAACTTACTTTTTTTAAATGTTTATTTTAGGGGAGAGAGAGCACATTTGTGTGTGCACGAACACACACGACCAGTGGTGGGGCAGGGAGAGAGGGAGACAGAGGATCCGAAGTGGGCTCAGAAAGGACTCTGCACTGACAGCAAAGAGCCCAGTGAGGGTCTCGAACTCACAAACCATGAGAACATGACCTGAGCCAAAGTCAGTATCTTAATCGACTGAGTCACCCAGGTGCCCCAATTTACTGAGTATCTAAGGGTAAGGAACTATACCTAGCACTAGAAATAACAGAAAAATGGCACAAACACAGTTCCTGTCCTCAAGGAGCTTACACTTCAGCGTGCAAGGCAGATGTTACGTGACTAATCACATAATTTCTTGTGCTTATTGAAATTACAATGTGCAATAGGGAATCAAACCTATGGGTTTAAGAAAGCTTTCTTGAAGTCATAACATCTGAGATGAGCTCTGAGGGACAAGTAGGGATTATGAGGCAAACAGGAGAAATAAGACTATGTCACAAGGAAACAGGATACATAAAAACTAAGGGGATAGAAAAAAAAAACTTGGGCATTTGAGAAATTGTGACTGGAGACAGTACAAAGTATTTCACAGAGAAATTCTGGGGATTAAATAAGATCATGTTACATCTGAAATGTAGTCAATGTTAAATATCTCCTTGTTAGCCCAAACCTAAGGACTAGGCTGGAAGGGATCTGGGACTCAATCTCTAACAGAATTAAATAGGGTTTTCCTAACAGGGTTAGACTCCATCACTCTGTTAGGAGATCTCCTGATTAGACACTTACCCACTGGCTGCCCCTTCTTAGTATAGTCACACCTAGATTTTGGATGTGGGTGTCAGCACTGAAACCTACCACCCTTCCAAGGTACTGTGACTGGTAAACTGATAAGAGATTTGAGCATAAACAGTGAGTCAGTGGTTCAGAATGAAAGTTCTACTAGCAAATAACAAGAGTCAATCTTCTGTTTTTTTGTTTTTAAATGTTTATTTATTTGCTTTGCAGGGGAGGGGCAGAGAGAGAGGAGACAGAGAAACCCAAGCAGGCTCCTGGCTGTCAGCGCAGGACAGGGGCTCAAACCCCCGAGCCCATGAGATCATGACCTGAGCTGAAATCAACAGTTGGGCACTCAACCGACTGAGCCACCCAGGCACCCCTGGACTAGAAACACAAGTTATGTTTTTGTCCTCTGTCACTAGGGCCGAAACTTCAGTTTCTACTAAGTAAGCTTGAGACTTAGAAGTTCCTTCAGAGAGAATTCTGAGCCAAACTCTTTTCACACTAGAGCTAGTCACTAAAAATTTAAGGATTCCAAAAAATTAATTTGGCATACTCCCAAACTAACATACTGGAACACAAAGAAAGGGTTTATAAGATACCATCCAACTGATGTTAAATAGCTTACCCAGGGTAAGTGGCATCAGTAAGTGGCAGAATAGAAATTTAAAACCAAGTCCTGTCTTCCCTCAATAATAAACCCTTCCCACAGTAATTCATTTCACAACCCTTTTGCTTGTAGGCAAATACCATCTTCGGAATCTAATCTTTGCATTATCTTGTCTACCTTTGTGGTTATCTAGCATCATCAATGTCATAAGACTACAGAAACAGAGAATGCCCTCTCTGGGACAACTGGGTACAGTTTCTTCCTTTGTGCATTTCCCCTTGAGCCTTCATTGTAGCACCTTCCGGAAGAACCATCTCAGCCCTTCTCCCACCACCCGCCTACCCTTCACTCTTGCACTTCTAACACTGTACTCCCAGTGAGTACTGAAAAATGAGGCCAGAAGTTTTTCACGTCACTTGCTTCTTTTGTGCTCTGGCCACAATAATTTACAACCCTCTCTCAAAAACCTTATCACCTTGTATCATGGGCTCAAAGTGCAGGGTGTGGTCATCTGTGCCAGGTCCGCACGTGAACAAACAAGGATCCTTGGGTACAGCTCCTCTGGACGTGTAAATCCATTAACTAAGAAAATCCGTTATTTGCCTACCCTCCCCCAAACACCCAATGTATGAGAAAGGGATAGAATAATTGTAGCGGAACTCCCGTTCAAAAAGGGGGCTGGGAGAAACGGAAGCTTTTAAGAGCCACTAATCCATGGCAATAAAATTATGGTCAGGACTACACAAATGATGGCCTCTGCAATATTCTAAAGCGCCGTGGTCATCAGGGGCACCCATTCCATGTGTTACGTACTACCTCTCAACCAAGGTAGACATCAGAGGGCCATCTTTCTAAAAGCACAATATCAACTACCCTCAAGTATTTTAAAAACATGCATCTACTTATGTATCACATCACGAAGCCATTTATGTGTGCCAAGGCTACAGAGAGCCCCTAGGAAGAAGAAATATAATTAACTCCACAGTATACTTAAGCTTTAGTCACTGCGCTTATAAGTGAGCCAACCTAGGCTACAGTTAGATACTGTTTCTTCACTGAGATTTTAAAATTACACTTTTTCAAAAGCAATAGTTTTATATTCTACTCTGCCCCACACATTATAGAAAAGCAACCAAATAGGACTTAATCTTTTATTTTTAAAAGTAATCTTTTATTTATTTTTAAAATTAAATATTTCACGTATTTATTGGGGGGGGAGAGAGAGAGAGAGAAATAGAGAGAATGCATGTGTGTGCAGGGGAGAAGCAGAGAGAGGGAGGGAGAGAGAATTCCAAGCAGGCTCTGCAATGAAAGTGCATTGCTCAACGCAGGGCTCAAACTTGCAAACCTGTGAGATCATGACCTGAGCCCAAGTCAGATGCTTAACCAACTGAGCCACCCAGGCACCTCAGGACTTAACATTTACTCAATTGCTGAGCCATACCAGCATACCATCTTTAGGCCAATATTTCCAATATAGTAATTTTTTAAAGTCAGCTTATCCAAACTCTACCACTTATATCCTCCTCCCTTGTAGCACTTTAAATTGGCAGCACTTTACACTTTATCTCTTTTAGTACCTAACTAAACATTCACATTTTATTTATTAAAAATTTTTAATGTTTTTATTATTTATTTTTGAGAGACAGAATGCACGTGGGGGAGGGGGAGGGAGAGAGGGTGACAAAGAATCTGAAGCAGGCTCCAGGCTCTGAGCTGTCAGCACAGAACCCAGCGCAGGGCTTGAACTCACAAACTGTGAGATCATGATCTGAGCCAAAGTTGGACACCTAATGGACTGAACCACACAGGCAACCCTGTTTATTTATGTATTTTAAAGTTTGAGAGAGAGTGCATGTGAGCTGGGGAGAGGCAGAGAGAACAAGAGAGAATCCCAAACAGGCTCCACCCAGGGCTCGAGCCCACAAACCGTGAGATCATGACCTGAGCCAAAGTCAAGAGTCTGACGCTAACTGACTGAGCCACCCTGGCGCCCCAAACATTCACGTTTTAATGAAGTAAGTCAAACTATGGAAAATGCAATTCTGAAGCTGTTCTGATCGCTCTACAGCTAATCTCTGGGGACCCATGATCTAGATCAGCCATTCTCAACGGGGGTGATTCAGTCCCCACAGGGCACCTTTGGTAATGTCTGCAGACATTTTTGTTACACCTGGGGGTTTTATTGGTATCTAGTAGGGATAGACAAAAGATGCTGCTAATAATCATCCTCCAGAGCACGGGAAAACCCTCCAGAATAAAGAATTATCTGGCCCCAAATGTCAATAATGGCACTTTGGAGAAATCCCAGTCTAGATGGACTTCCTTTATTGTTTGGTTGATACAACAAAACACACTTCAAATGCCATCAGAATCTAATTACTTATAGCCACTCATTCAGTAAACATTTATTGAGTAATTACTATGTGGCCAGCTATGGAGATGGAAAGAAAATCACTGTCCTTGGAAACTGTCCAGAGGGAAACAACTCACTAACCCCAGGCCCTTGCCAGAAAATTCAATACTGTCTATTATATACTCTTATTAAGAGCCTGAGAAAAGTGATGAGTAAAAAAATATTTTAAGGTATGCAGTCCATTTACGTATCTAGGTTGAAGAAGTCCTTGAATTGAGCTGGATGATATTTAGATCGTGTTACCTTAAGTCCCTGAAGAAATGCCCTAAGCTCCACGTTAAAGTTACATTCTCTTCCACTGAAGAACACTGCAAGTCATGACAAACCCACTCTCACTTCCCATAACAATCTTGTACCTATCACTCAGTGCTACCTATGTGAAACTACGTGTAAATTTCTTTTAGAAATCACTATCGGAGGGTTTCTTCCTCTCTGATGACAACCATACAACTATTTCTCTTCACCCTGACTGCTAAATCATTTACAGAGCTACATTTGAGGCTCAACTCTAGCAAGTATGCAGGCCCTTAAGCCTGAACATTTGTGTACCTCCCCACCCCTAACCGGGCTGGGCTTAAGAGGTATTTCTATTTTCCCTGTTGTAGATCCTCTGGTTGTTTATATTTGACTGGTTGTTTATACTTCAAATCATTTTATTACATCTGCTCTTGCCATAAGTTGCCTCAATTAATGTATAAAATGTGGGTAGGTATGAATAAAATTAAAGGCAAGGGAGAGTGACAGAAAACAATTAAAGCAGTAGTTGGGGGACACATGCACTGGATGCCTTGACAGCTTGGACAGGACCCATAATGAAGGTGGTGAGGGTCACAGAACACTTCCTGAAAGAGCTCATAACTGAGCGGAACACTGAAAAACAGACTAGATTTTACTTAAAGAAAGAAGATAGGAGGATAAGGAAATGTTGTAGCCAAGAAATAAAAGCAGATGCCAAAGCACAGAGGTGAAGGAGCACCTTGTGCACTCCAGGAATGCAAGAGGTCTGCATCAGCAGCAACAGCGTTTGGGCCAGCAGCGGACAGGACACTGCAGAGGTGCTCTGGATACCGCACTAAGGACTTTGAGCCCTGGACTTAAAAAGCATGATTAGGATCGTGAGGCCAGTGAGGAAATTACTGCAGTAGTACAGGGAAGAAG